TGGAGCTTGTCGTGATGATAGAGCCCTTGGACAAAGCAGGTGATTACCTTGGCCTCGAGGATGTTAGGAATCTAGTTCCTTACGAGAAATGTCGGATGTAGCTCCGAAGGAGCTCTCCCGTCCTCTGATAGACCCTTGTCGGGTCATGCTTCGTGGCCAACCGCTTGTAGGTCGCCTTGTAGTTCTCAATGAACATATTCTTGAGGTCATCCCAAGAGTCAATGATATCTGGTTGGAGTCTAGTGAGCCAATTCATTACGGTAGGTTGGAGCATAACTAGAAGGTAATTTGCCATGACATCGAGGTTGCCACCGCTGGCCTTCATGGCGATGGCGTAACTCATCAAACATTGCTCAGGATTGGTGTGGCCATCATACGGCTAGACTCCATAGATCTTGAAGTTGGTGGGCCACTGTACGGTGTGGAGCCTCGTCTTGAAAGCTTGCGAACCATCAGTGATGATGGCGTCATCAACGACAGCTTGTGGAGCAGTGGCTCATGTAGCTCATGGGGCGACAACACCAACAGTAGATCAGGATCGCCCCACTCTCGATCATATTCCTGCTGGCGAAGAATTTCCCCCTCGTGGCATGAGTTGTGGCTTCTCTCGATGCGATGGCGAACATCATGGAGCTAGTTGAAGTGGCTCTGAGCATCACCACCATGGGGTTGGTTGACTTCCTAATTGGTGTTAGGGTTGGCATAGCGTAGCAGCTGTCCGAGGTTGACAACATAGTTGCCTCACGACCCCCTCTAGAGATAGGGGCCGCCAGCTTGAAAACGGCTGCCACCCGGATGGTTAGGGTGAGACCGCTGTGACCTCCTAGACCGGTTGGACCCGGTGGAGTGAGATGGAGCTTGATTCTTGTGGATTTCGAGGACCTAGACCGCCGCTGCCTTAAGCATGGCGGTGGCTTTAGCGAGCTTGAGGGTCTGTTGGAGCCTGCTGAGCTCGTCCATGGCCACCGCAAGATTGGCGCTCAACGTTAGCTGGACTTGGTGCCTATCGACTTGTAGGAACTCATCTTTGAGATAGTGGGCAATGCGGCAGCCGCCCTACTGGTCGACATCACCTCCTGCCACTACGGCGGCCACAGCGGTGCCTTCTGCTACACGATGTCTGGCGCGATTGGTGTTCTTATGCTCCCGAGCGACGTGCTCAGAATCGATTTCCTTGTCTCGAGGGGGGTGTCACAGATGATGAAGAAAAGTTCCCCAAGGAAATGCCTGGGCGACGATGGGGTCTCGGCAAGGATGTCAGTGATAGTCTCAGTTTAGTCTTGGTGGAGCCCTCAGATATGACCCTTGGATCCTCCTCCAAGATGGGGAGTATGGAGTCTTTGTCGAGCTATCGGATCTGCACCATGTTGATCGCCAGAGCGAACTGATCGATGATGGGTAGATCGAGCTCGAAGAGCAGGTAAACGTGGCCGATCTAGTCGGCATAAAATTCACGCAAGGCATCTTGATAAACAGTAGCCACATTGGCCAGCCCATAGGGCTGGGCAGCCATGGAGTCCTGCATGGAGCTTCTTGCCTAGCCCTAGGCGAACCAGATCTAGAGAGAGGTCGGCGTTGCACCGTGCGCCCCGTTGGGGTCGCCATGATGATCAGATCTGGATCGTGCTGCCTCGGGCGGTGGGGTCGAGCGAAACGCTTGGTGTGAACCATCGTGAAGTGTTGAAGCGGTGGAGACTCATCATCGTGAAGAGTCCAATCCATGACCGACTCTATGAGCGAAAAGCACTCGGCTAGCTTTTCATCGACCCGATCTATAGAGGAGATCAGATCATCCAGCTGGATGGGCTTCCTCTACCAGCGTGGCAGCGGCGGTCGAGTTGTCGAAGAGGAAGGCAACCCCAGGAGAGTTCCCAAGATCGGATCTGCTGATGCAGACATAGGTGCAATCGGCGCAGGGTTGACCTGCACCGGCTAGGCGATCTCCCCGTCGTCGTTGGCGTTGATGATCTAGGTGACAGATCCGACAGTGAAGGATTGGCCAGGCCTGGGAGCTAACGAAGAGCGTGGGAAATGTACCATCTGGCTTGCCATGAGATCAAGCACACACCCCTACCGGGCGCGCCAATTGTCGATAAAAGATGCTCGATAATCCATCGAGGGGGGTACCCGTGATGGTAGATTGATCGGAGAGGTGAGCGAGATCAGGAGCGAGATGGTGACAAGACACAAGATTTATATAGGTTCAGGACGTCAGCTTGACGTAATACCCTAATCCTGTGTCCCATCGGTTTGTATTGGCTATCGTATATGATTGCGTCTGTTTTGAGAGGGTCCCCTACCCGCCTTATATAGCATGGGGGTAGGGTTACATGCCGATCAGGTCAAAGTCCGATCGGGTAAGAGATAATCTATACATGGAATCGTACATTTGACATATCCTAACAGATTCTAAGCGATCTTCGGGATGCCCGCCGAGATGCCTTGCGATGTGCGCCGAGCTATGACGTGCGCTGCAAGCCTTTGTCTTGTGGGCTAGACCATCCCTGTTGGTGCGTCCCATGTGCATTGCCGTGGGTACCTAGGGTCAGACCCCCCACAGTACCCTATGTCCAATTTGAAGTAGATACCTTTGTTTGTATGCTCAAGTTTATAGGGGTTACCGATTGTAGCTATGCACTAGTATGGATGTCAAAGATTGCGCATCGGAGCCTCTCTACCCCTCCTTATATAGTCCAGGGGTAGGGTTACAAGAGATCCGATCGGCTAACAAATGTGTTTCCTAGTTGATTACCTAGAAAGTAGAATAGATCCTTCTATCATATCCCATAAAGATAGGAATGCAAGCTATCTACACTAGGTTGCTTGCTCATCATGTCTGGTGCTATGCCCTGCATGCGTGAGCCTCATACTCGTTGTCTTTGGCCCATTTGCTAGCCCCTGATCCAGAATATAGGCGGTGAGGTATCCCGGTCCCATATCTTCGATAGGGACCTTCTCGCTGGAAGCTTCGCTTGATGATGCATCTTCTCTTCGGAAACAAGCATAGTTGTCGTAGCTGAAGTAGTCGATGTAGTCAAAGTAGTTGTGCTGAAGGTTATTGTGAGGTCCCTGAATCTTCTCTCACGAGCACCGGGCAAAATACTGCACCCTCCGGAGTGGTTGCCCCTCCGGTATGCTCCCCTAGCCCCTCTTGGTCAGTGCTCGTGACCGTATCCTCAGTTGCGCTTGGTGTAGTCAATGTAGTCGTAGTAGTGGAAGTAGATGTCCGGAGCAAAGTTATCGACGAGCCCCTCGAGTCAAAGTGGTTGACGAAGGTGTAGTAGACCTCGGTGCCGAAGGAGTTGACGTAGCACCTAGAGCTCAGCAACGGAGGCAAGTCGTCTTAAGCATTGATGCCAAAGTTTTGGACAAAGGCTCTCGAGCCGTTGTAGTGGGTGAAGATGATGGTGAAGTCCCTTGCCAAAGTGTTAGCGGAGGTGAGCCATAGTGGTTCGCTGAAGATGTTGGCGAAGCTCCTCCTGCAGAAGCGTTGGTAGAGGTGTTTTGTTGTGGTTCACCGAATATGTTTGTGAATGCCCTCCTGTAAAGGTGTTTAGTTGTAGACGCCGAAGGTGTCAACGAAGCTCCTCATGCTAATCATGTTGATGGAGGTGAGTTTTTCGCGTTGTGGAAGTGTTGGTAAAGGCCCTCCTGCAAAGGCATTTGGCAGAGGCGATGTTGGTGTAGTCGTCAATGGTGGTGGCGAAGCCTCTCATGCCGAAGAGCTTGGCGAAGGCGATGTTGATGTCGAAGGTGTCGGCGCAGCCCCTCGTGATGAAGGTGTCGGCGGAGGCAGTGTTGGTGTAGATGCGGAAGGTATTGGTGAGGTTCCTTTGGCTGAATGACGGGGAAGTAACATGAAAATGCACCTAAAAGAACAAAGATCCGAAGTTTTTTTTAAATACGATGTATAACTAGAGCACTCGATGTTGTGTATAAAAGAACAAAGAGTCCAAGTTTTTTTCTAAAAGAAAAGAAAAAAATCTCACGATCATGTCATAAACACACTCTAGGCTTGTTTGACTGAATCTGTATACATCTCAATTCATGTGGGTTATAGTGAGCTAGGATCAAAATTAGTTGATTTTCACCTTAAATCCATCTCAATTCATGTGGGTTATAGTGAGCTAGATCAAAATTAGTTGATTTTCACCTTAAATCCATATAAATTGAGATGTATACGAATGCAGGCAAATAAAACCTCATAGGAACTTTCAAAGCCCCAAGCCATGATTTCTTCCACGCTATGCCTAGAGTACCACCATTACTGCTCTGTAAATTCTAAAGAATTACGTATAGCTAACAACAATGGTCATGAAAGTTCCAAGTACACATCTCGCATCAGTTCTAATAATTTCAAAAAGGAAACAAGAGAACAGTGTCCCTGTCGAAAAGCTTGGGCGCATCACGCAAAAGCTTGAAGTATCTACTGTACAACTGCTCTTGCTTGCCGGTAGTGAGTGTAATATAATGCCTTTACCATGTACTTCCTCCCTCCCCAAAGAGAGTGATGTTTTTTATTTTTAAATATCGTGTTTGACTATTCGTTTTATTCAAAAAATTTATATAAATTATAAAATAAATTAATCATTATTAAAGTATCAATAATGATAAAATAAGTCACAACAAAATAGATGATATTTATATAAAAGATTTAAATAAGATGGATGGTCAAATAATAAGGTGTTTGAAAGTAAAAAACGAAACTTTTTTTTTTACGGTGGGAGTACCTTGCATTAAGACGTGTCCACGTGCATACGCAAAAACACCCACCAAGACATTCCACGTTTCCACCAATGACAACGAGGCAGCGAAGGTAGGTAGAGCAAGCGGCCACTCAAAGTCCAAACTCAGGCAAGAACCTGGGGAAACCAGACTCCGATCTCCTCGACAGCGTGGCCAATCCAAGGTCCACACATCGCCTGGGCCCACACTTGTTTTATGATACTAATGTAGTACTGTTATCCCAAACCAACCCCATCCGATCTGCTCCGAGCACCATGGCGAGGGTCAGGGGCCCGAGCCTCATCGTCCTGCTCGCTCTCGCCATCCTCGCCGCCGTCGCCGCCGCCGAGGCGCGCGCGCAGTCCACATACATCATCCACCTCGCGCCAGGCCACCTGGCGCTGTCCGCAGCGCGCGCCAACGGCGGCGGCGAGGCGGTCCTCCGCCGCCTCCTCCCGCGCCGCCTGCGCGCGCCGAGGCCGCGCGTGCTCTACTCCTACCAGCACGCTGCCACGGGCATCGCCGCGCGGCTGACGCCCGAGCAGGCGGCGCACACCGCGGCCGGGGAGGGCGTCCTGGCCGTGTACCCCGACCAGGCGCGGCAGCTGCACACCACCCACACCCCGTCGTTCCTAGGCCTGACCGAGACCGCCGGGCTCCTCCCAGCCGCGGCGGGAGGCGCGTCGTCTGCCGTCGTCGGCGTTCTCGACACCGGCCTCTACCCCATCGGCCGGGCCTCGTTCGCGGCAACTGCTGGGCTCGGCCCGCCGCCCGCGTCCTTCTCCGGCGGATGCGTCTCCGCGGGCTCCTTCAACGCGTCCGCTTACTGCAACCGCAAGCTCATCGGCGCCAAGTTCTTCTACCAGGGGTATGAGGCTGGTCTCGGCCACCCCATCGATGAGACCAAGGAGTCCAAGTCACCGCTGGACACTGAGGGCCATGGCACGCACACCGCCTCCACGGCGGCTGGCTCGCCGGTGCACGGCGCCGGGTTCTTCGACTACGCCAAGGGGCAGGCCGTGGGCATGGACCCCGGCGCGCGCATCGCGGCGTACAAGATCTGCTGGGCGTCCGGATGCTACGACTCCGACATCCTCGCCGCCATGGACGAGGCCATCGCCGACGGCGTCGACGTCATCTCGCTCTCCGTCGGCGCCAACGGGTACGCCCCTCGCTTCTACACCGATTCCATCGCCATCGGCGCTTTCCACGCGGTGCGCAAAGGCATCGTCGTCTCCTGCTCCGCCGGCAACTCCGGCCCCGGCGAGTACACCGCCGTCAACATTGCGCCGTGGATCCTGACCGTCGGCGCGTCCACCATCGACCGTGAGTTCCCCGCAGATGTGGTTCTTGGTGACGGCCGCGTCTTTGGCGGCGTGTCTCTGTACGCCGGTGACCCCCTGGACTCCACTCAGCTGCCGCTGGTGTTCGCCGGGGACTGTGGTTCCCGCCTGTGCCTGATAGGCGAACTCGACCCGAAGAAGGTGGCCGGCAAGATCGTGCTCTGTCTGCGTGGTAAGAACGCTCGCGTCGAGAAAGGAGCGGCGGTCAAGCTCGCCGGTGGGGTCGGAATGATCCTCGCCAACACCGAGGACAGCGGCGAGGAGCTCATCGCCGACTCCCACCTCGTGCCGGCGACTATGGTCGGGCAGAAGTTCGGCGCCAAGATCAGGTACTACGTCCAGACGGACCCGTCGCCGACGGCGACCATCATGTTCCGCGGCACGGTCATCGGCAAGACGCCGTCGGCGCCGCAGGTGGCGGCGTTCTCGAGCCGAGGCCCTAACTACCGCGCGCCAGAGATCCTCAAGCCCGACGTCATCGCCCCCGGCGTCAACATACTCGCGGCGTGGACCGGCGCCGCCTCTCCGACCGACCTGGACATCGACACGAGGCGCGTCGAGTTCAACATCATCTCCGGTACGTCCATGTCCTGCCCGCACGTGAGCGGCCTCGCCGCGCTGCTCCGCCAGGCGCACCCGGAGTGGAGCCCCGCGGCGATCAAGTCGGCGCTCATGACCACGGCGTACAACCTGGACAACTCCGGGGAGACCATCAAGGACCTTGCGACGGGCGAGGAGTCGACGCCGTTCGTCCGTGGCGCCGGCCACGTCGACCCCAACGCCGCCCTCGACCCGGGCCTGGTGTACGACGCCGGCACCGACGACTACGTCGCCTTCCTCTGCACGCTCGGGTACTCTCCGTCGTTGATCTCCATCTTCACACAGGACGGCTCGGTCGCCAACTGCTCGAGGAAATTCGCTCGCTCCGGCGACCTCAACTACCCTGCCTTCGCCGCCGTCTTCTCCTCCTACCAAGATTCAGTCACCTACAGCCGGGTGGTGCGCAACGTCGGCAGCAACTCCAGCGCGGTGTACCAGCCCAAGATCGTCAGCCCGTCCGGCGTGGATGTCACGGTGACCCCGAGCAAGCTCGCATTCGACGGGAAGCAGCAGAGCCTGGGCTACGAGATCACCATCGCGGTGTCAGGCAACCCGGTGATCGTGGACGCCAGCTACTCGTTCGGGTCCATCACCTGGAGCGACGGCGCGCACGACGTCACGAGCCCCATTGCCGTGACCTGGCCGTCCAACGGTGGAGCAGCGGCCATGTAGACTGATTGCTGTTGCTACTGGCTACTGCTGTGGGCAGAAGAACAGGGCTATCAGATCCGAGATCTCCACGCATCCTGCCTGCCATTGTTTACTCGACTGAACCACGGAATAATTCAGCTGCCCCTACCATGGACCATGGTTGTGCGGACCAATGGACCATGCTTGCAGCTCTCTTTTCATTTAGGAGTAGGTTGGTTGGAGTAGTGTATGTGATTGGCTGCTTGCAACTTGCAAGGCAGCGAGGGAGTAATTATGGTTGATGGCGATTGATGAACATGTATGAACAAGTTTGTAATGACTGGAATGATCAATGTGCCATCTTTTTTTTTTATGCTGGCATGTTTATAGCTCGATGCTTTGTGTATGTCACTTGTGTACGCATACTAAGAGGCAAGCATGGCTGTGGAACACCTGAGTGCTCCTAAGCCATTCAACATTTGATTCTTTTGGACCATCTGATGAAGCTTGAACAAGTCACATTATCTTCAACCTCCGGGGTCCTCTTAGCTCTTCTTGGACAGCAAATAGCCAGTACATGGTGAAATCAGCTTATTTAGCTCACTTCAATGGAAGCGTTGAGCACTACAAAAGAAACATCCTTTGGAAAGCTCGATCTGAAGAAAAGTGCAGATTCTTTGCTTGCACTGTGATTCAAAACAAAATTATAATGGCGAAAAACTTAGACGTCACATCAAAATTTGTGTCATTGTGTGATCTCTGCAAATGGACCTTTGGAGACAATCACCCACACCTTGAATGCATTGCCCTTTCGCCTAGATGGTGTGACACCCACCAAGTTCTCTCCTCACAACAATTCACTTTGACAACACATCACAACTAAATAACTTGAATTTCATTTGTATTCTTGTCTTGTGCTTGAACTAGATTGCCTTTACCACAACACATTTTTTGGCTTCTCATTTCAACACAATATGGAACACTTTCAAGTTTGCCTTTATGATTGAACCATTGATACACTTCAAATGATACAACATCTTATATTCCACATCAATGTAATATAATCAACTTCCTGTTCAACACTTAACAAATTTGTTAGTCCTTTAATCGTGTTATCAGTCAATCATCCAAAACCCACAAAAGGCTAGATGCACTTATAGAATGCAACTGGTGTGGCGATCCAAGTCATGGGAAGACCTCTTTCTAGTCTTCCACACACATGTGTTAGATGATCTCAATTGGGCCCTTGCATCCACGCCCTGATCGGGGGCGCCGAACCCTAAATGGTTGGTGGGCCCCCGTCACACTGTGCTATAAAAGAAAGGTGGGGGCCGGCGGCTCAGATCACGAAGTTCACCTGAGCTACAGTCGCCCCACCGACACAACCCTAATCCAATCTAAGAGAGGGTGAGCATCCAATGACGAGAAGCACCGCCATCGGCCAACGCCGCCACTGCACCGACGCCCTTCGACACAGCACCGCCACCGGGTATTCACCAAGCACCGCGATGGTGAGCCCATCTTCCTCGAAGGCGCCGATGGTTTGCACCCCCTTCACCCCTCTCTCTCACTCTATCTATTAATCATGTACTAGTAGATGTTCTAGGACTCAATGTTTATTCCAAAAGCAAGTAGACACGCTAAATCTATGACTAGTGATCATGTTTTAACTCTATCAATGATATCAGTCGCCTAACTAGACGTAGATCTAGCCTATCAGAACCATCTATCTAGATGTAGATCATGTCAGGGGTAAGAAACATATTAGATCCATTCGGATCAGAGAAGAGAAGAGGGTCACCGAACCCTAACCCTAATCGATGAAGGAAAGCGGTAAGAACGGGGTTCCGGCTTCAAGAGAACTCGAACCGAGCCCTAACCCGTGAAGAAACCGCTCAAGGAAGATGAACAGTAAAGGAAGCCCTAGCCCTAATCTTGATCCTAACCCCATCCCCAACACTAAATCGGATAGATCCGAGAAGAAAAGAAAGAAAAATCCAATCAGAGAAGAAAAGGGGAAGGGGAAGAGGCCTACTTTGCCGCTGCACCGCGCTGCCGCCTCGTCGGCGCGCGAGAAGAAGGGTCGAACCGCCGCTACACGTTGAGCGGGCGCATGCTCTGGCCAAGGGCGCCGCGGCCAGGCCACTCGACGGCGGCGCGCTCAACCGCTAGGGAGCGCGCGCGTCGGTGAGGGGGCGGCGACGGCGCCATCATCGCCTCGCCTCACTCGGTCTTGTCGCTGCGCTGAGAGAGGAGATGGAGGGAATCAAAATGAGATAGGGTTTCGGGGGAGGCCACCGCGCCGGGGTTTTGTTCGACCAACGCGCACGCTCGACCGTCCGATGTAGATGAACGGTTGAGGGGACAACATTCGCCCAAAGTGAGGCAGCAGCAGCGCTGCAACTTTGTCGCCTAGGCCTAGGTTGTGGCACAGGGAAGGTGTAAGCCATGAGAGCCGAACAAAGTAGCGGAGCTGATTTTCATTGGCCCACAACGGCACAATAAGGCCAAGAATTTCAGTCCAAATTGCACAGTAATGTTTTTCGTTTTTGTTTTATTATTCTCAGAAGCAAATTTCAATGAATTTTGTCCAGTTTAAATCTCTATCAAAATTTGAACTAACGGGTAATTTTTTCAGAGAGTAGATTAGTACAGTAAATGCTTCTGAAAGTAGACAAATAATTTTTCACGTTTCCGCTGTAATGTAATAGTTTATTATCTTATAATTAAATTCGAACCAACGGAAGAATTTAATTTGAAGAGTAGTCATTTTTAGTCAATAAATTATAATATTGTTATTTTTCTGACCAACATTGATAATAACAATATTATAATGTTTATTCATAAGTTTTTCATGCATTAATTCTATTTCTGTCCAACGATGATGTAGAATTAGTGTATAAGAATGTTGTATGTTTTAATTTTGACCAACGTTAAATTAAAGCACGTAATTATGATGTCATAATTTTCTCACTATCTCTGATGGTGTTTTTAGGACTCAATCCAATGACATTCATCTCACACATACCACCTCTTGAAGGGGCAACTATAGGGTATGGCGAGAGAATTATGTGTTTACACCAAAATTTAGAATAAAAATTGCACGAACTCGAAATCTCCTAACATCATGTCATCAAGGAATCGATTGCATAAAGGTCGGTATCAGCTGATTCGAATGCAGCACTGGAATCGGTTCTCTTCAGATAGCACCAGCAGATAACGATAAAATCTATAATCAGCGCTAGAAAAAACATATTGGACTCAACAAAAGGGAAAGATTAGGGTCCAAGTTATCTTAAATTAGGAATATTTTCTCTTATGCCAAAGATTGTAATGAGTTATGCTTAAGTAGGATTCATGCGTAGGTTCTGGGTATAAATATTGGACCCCAGCTATTATAAAGACACACAATCAATCAAATACAAGTTACTTACTTTTTCGGCTCCGGCCACCCCTTAGGAGTAGGAATAGAGTAGATCTCGATGAGTTCTTCAGCGAGTAGGGCTGCATCGGTCCGGCCGACCTCCGGCTTGTCTGTAAGTACCGTCATGGCTTATACTTCTATTCGTACGGCTGCATCGATCCGGTCGACCTCTACTGCGACTTTGGTATAAGCTAGTTATCGACTCTTGTCTAGTTCAAGTACGGCTGCATCGATCCGGTCGATCTCCACTGCTCGAACTAGATTAAGGTCAAGTTATCGACTTTATCTAAGGGTGACGTCCTTCGGGTAGATTCATTAAGTTACCGATCTTGCTGATGTTTTCATTATTATTAGTTTACAGCGACATCAATTCGCTCGGTCGAGATCGAATTAGATCGGCATCATATCCTATAGATTTGTCGTTTGTTTGTTACAACACGATATTATCTACCTTAAACGATGGTTTATGTTTCATTGGCTGTTTTACTTCAATCTTGATTATGCATAGTACGCGGTTAAGGCATGCATAATCTTAAAGAGGTCTGCTGGCTAGTTGAATCTAGTTTATGGTTCACCATTATGGCTGTAACGATCCGGTCGATCCCCACTGATGGCACTGTAGATTGGAGGATGCTAGTTAGTAGATTTGTTCCTGATTAGGCGTGACATTAGCTGTTTGCTATGCCTACATCGGCTAAATAGCCGATCGTCTGTGCGTTAACGCCTACAGCATGTTTACATGATTTCGTTAAGCACGAGTAGATATGTGTGCTTTAAGGGTTTGATTCATTGTCTTTTTCATGGTTGCATCGATCCGGTCGAACCCCACTGTTAGAGACAATAGGTTGAGTCTGAGTAGTCCATAGGTTTGTTCATGTGAAATAGTCGATTGTTCACACGCCGTAGTCCTTCTCACCTGAATCGGCTGTTTTAGCTGATTCATCCGAGCCTTCACGTATAGCATGTCTTTCAGAAAGCCTGTCGAAGTACGGATGTCTTTGTGGATTCTTCGGTTTTGGTTTTTTACTATCATCATAGCTGCCATCGATATAGTCGAATCTCACTGTTGGTGGTAACAGATTAGATTCAGAGCGTCTGTAGATCTGTTTGTATTAGATAGTCAATTTGTTCGCATGCTATATCTTTTCCCGTTAGATTCATCGGCTCAACGATTCATACTGATAATATTCACCTAGCTGATGATCTTATTTACATATACGTACTGTACCTATCAACATAAAATTAATCGCTACCCACGAACTTTATAGTCCATAACAGCCGATTTCTGTACGGATCGGCTATTTGGTAGCTTTTTCCCGAATGGTTGCTCCCGAAGCGGCACACTTGGAACTGTCTGGGCACAGACCGGCATGTTCCACCTCAAATTACTGATAAACTTTCTCTCCTTGTCAATTGCAGGGTCAAATTGATTGGCATGTCTCGGGAGGAGTACGCAGGATCGACCATCCCTACGTTGAAGCCAGGCGGATCTCCACCTCCATCGAGCGGACCCTTCCGGCTTGCTCGTGTGCCCGGCACGATTGACATGTTTTCGTGCCGACACACGTTCTGGCACGCCCGGTGGGACCACCACAATCGTCATGGTGGCTTACAACAA